AAGTAAAATAACTAAAGAAAGAAAAGAATGAAATACAATAAATATTAATAAAAAATAAAACAAGATAATAAGACAAATATATACAAGAATTTACACATCTAGCAGAAAAAGGTATATTGGCATTTGGTCAAAATCATATACGATATCAATTTTATATGATAAAAAAAAAGAGGTCAAAAATGTTCAACTAAGTACACAGTAGCTGTATTTGATGTTGGTTAATAACAGGTGCAGTCAACCAAACATGCCTCCATTTTTCTGAACCACACGACCTTCTACACATCCGTCAACATTCAGCTCTGATGAAAGTAAATTATTTTTTCACCTCTTTAATAAAATTAGTCTGATCTACAATGTAATCTTTGTCCAGCAGCATTAAAAGAGGTGAAAGGACATTTAAAATTACCCAATAAATTCAATTATACATTCATCATTTCAGGATGAGTCATATCTTCATTAGTAGGCACCAGGTTTTTTTTTTTTTTCCTACATTTTCATATCTCTGTCCACATGTTTATCAGTGTTCTCAACAGCTGCAGGGAAAATGCTTCTTTTTTTTTCCTTCGACATTCTCATACATTCTCTACGACTATATATGCTGGGTGTCTTTTACATTCAGTTAAGGTACATTTACAAATGACAAGCATAAAGTGCTTACCCCCTTTGAAAGAGATCCACATTGTGAAACTTGTGCAACTCTAGAGAAAACTCCAGTGTTCCCTGTACTTCAGACATGATATAATCCCACTCATCACCTGTCAAAAGAGAAGATGCACTGTAAATATGACACATCAAACAAATAAGCCAAAAATAACACAGGATCTGCAGTAACACAAATAATGACACTTGTAAAAACCATCAGTCTGGTCAGGAGATACTGTGTGACTCATGTGGTCCAGCATGGTGTGGAGAACAGACTGTATGAGACCAAGATGGACGCCTTGATCTGAATATAGCCATCATCATGTCTGCTCCGGTTGATGCTGGAGTAATGACCACTAAAACCTGATTGAAGTATTTCAAAGTAAAAGCACGGACGTGTGCAACTGCAGTCTTTGTCTTAATAAGAAAAGCCGTGAGCTGATTTGAATTAAACTTTTACGGCCGTAAATGTCAGCTCGACCCGCAAATGTGGCAATTATATGTTATCTTCTTTGTACTTTTAAATGAGAATTTTATTGCACAATTATGTTTTTAATGTTTTTAATTAAAGCCCAGGACGAGTTCCTATATACAGAAAAGAGGGGGTGATTAGTAATTAGTGCAGTGTGGCTGTGTATCAGCATAACTGGATTTAAGTCGAATAATTTGGAGTCAGTCAAAACACAGAAACACATGATCTTGCTCGAGGAACATCGCTGTCAGACAGGTGTGTGGATCTATCCAGAAGTACAGACTTTGTTCCCATTTGCCCTTGACTCAAGGATTTGGCAAAATCTCTTGTCTGTACTGAAAGCTATGTTCCAGCTTATTGAGACAAATACATTTAAATACTAATGCATCACACTATGAGAACTGATGCCTAAATGAAGCTGGTTCACTTACACCCACACTGTAAGAGGAGTGATTCCCATTAACAACAACTAAAGCTCAGAACATCTAACTTTAATTACTCATTGTCCACGCTGTCATTAATATGGACTTTATACTACACAGTATACGGAGGAAGTGCCCCAAGAGCTGTTTATAGCAAAGTGTATCAAATAACCCCTCATTGAATGCTTTGAAATACAATCCCTGCATGTGTGTGTGCTATTGGGTTAGCCTTCTTCTAAGTGTTGTAAGAACTGCCATGAAGAGTCATCACTTGAAAGAAAGATGCACACTCTAAAGTGTCATTACAAAAAAAAAAAACCCAGTCATTGCTGTAAAGCACCTTTTCAGAAGTGCAACTTGTGCATCACAACCAGCCCTCAGCTTAGCTGGCTTAAAAGCATAATACTGTTCCAGTCCACTTTCTTTAACCAGTCAAGATTTATCTAGACAGGCTGGTTTTACTGCACCACAGCATCGACACAGGGGTGTAGTCACAAGTTCTTTGCTGCAGCCAAAATGCAAAATTAAACACTAATTACAGCTACAAGTCCACTCTTTTAGTTTTTTATTCAGCATGTATGCAGTTCCCAGTGATTGCTGTAGCAGACTTATATGTGCACAAGTATCCCAGTTATGAGGCAGATGTTGATTGCATTCCAGATTTATGGGGTGCACAGAGAAATGTGGTTATTTTTCATATCTCTGTACACATGATAGATCAGTATCCTGGTCACTGATTACTGTTTCGTGTTTGCTCAGGTGCTTGTGACAAACCAGAAGCTTAATCTGACCGTCCTGTAACTGTCGGCCTAACCTTGAATTAAACTGACAGTGAAGCCACTTTAGCTTCTAGCAGCATTAGCACTAACATATGGCTCAGTGCAGATTCAGTTTATCCACGTTAACGCCAGCAACGGAAGACGAGACAGTCAGGAAATATTAAACACGTCCTCCACTTTGAATGTCACTGCATAGGACGGGAGAGCGGTGGATTAAGACACGCAGCATGACTGGTGGGATGGGGTCATCAAGATGGAGTTCAGTGACCTCGAGTGGAGAGAAAATTACCATATAAGTAGGACATGCATTTACCGGCTGTAATACACAGTTGGGCTGTTCATGAGAGCAGGGGAAACGTATAAGCACCAGTTCTACTACAGATGAGAGTGGTCTGCTGTACAAACTGGTGGGCAGGATCAACTGGTTTGTGTTTCAGGCAGTCAGCATGTAAACATGCAACAGTACACATAATCAGGTTTCTCTAAACTAAGACAGGGGTGAAGGGTTTCTGAAACCAGGATATGATGTTTACATGCGCATCACAAAAACAGGATATTTCTAAATCGATCATAACTAGGTCCATGTAAACGCAGTCATTGGTAGATAGACGTTATTGATAAATACTTTGCCGTCTGAAGTATTTCTCTGTTTCCTCCATGAACATTTATTCTCTCCAGGTTACTGTCACTCACTGGCCTCACTGGAATCATCTGCTGGGATTCTCTTGATGATGTATAGTTGTAAGGTCTTCACCCAACTATATAAAGTGCTCTAAGATGTCTATTGTTGTGATTTGGCCCTATATAAATAAAATTGAATCCAACTGATTTAAAATGACGGTGGGGGGATGATAGATTTATCCAGCTAGCAAGCTATTTAAACTGAAGTTAGCTACATAGGTTGGTTTAAAAAGTTGTTTTCAGCTGACTTTATAGCCGTTATAAGTCTATATAGTGCATGTGAAGGTTACACACAGTGTATGACATGGTGGTAACAGCTAATAGCATCACTAGAGGAGCAGTTAATAGTCAGTTTAGAAGACATGAATCAGCACTGTTGTTGTATTACAGTATTACAGACGATAAGAATATATGTTCTGTTTTGTTCTGTGAGAGCTGTTTAGTTTCTTAGCTTCGTGTTCATATTTAACAACTTAACTTTATTTGTTTCAAAAGAAAAGCCTGAGTTTATCTTGGATGATGTTGCTAAAGCTGTTGGACTATTAAGTCCAGTATGCAGCAGGACAAGTCGCTAATGTTAGCCTAAACTTAGACAGAAGCCAAACACTTTTACACAGTAAGGAAGCGCTACGTAAGTAAACAGGGTTAAATCACCTGTGAGGACTTACTGATGTGCTCCTGGGCCTTAGAAGTAAAGTTGGATTACTACTGGACATGGTCGACTACATTAGAGCAGGAAAACATGCATTTAATCCATTCCTTAAACTTTAACAATTATGTTTTTGGTTTTGGAATTACAAAAATAATCAAGTATAACTTCTACTCTGCACACTGCTGTTCATGTTTAGTATTGAAACGACAACTTGTGTCTTTGTTCTGAGTCAGCTGTCTGGAGTGAAGAATGAGGTTTAAACAACCTTGGGTCAGGATTAAAATACATCCATCCATCCATTTTCTATAGCTGTTTTATCCTGTGGGGGTTGGGATCCCAGCTGCAGGACAGAGGATGGAGTTTATTGTGTCTCCTCTTACCGACTGAACTTGGGGTTGATTTTTCAGATGTAGCTTTAAAAAGATAGCTTGCTGCTTCAGCGCTTCAATATAATTATATAGATCCAGATTAAGCTAACAGTCGGGTTTGATTTGTCACTTCCTAAGAGCAGAGGAATTATTCCATCGTGTCCTTTCCTAACACGAGAACTTTATTTGAGCAAATAGGGTGGATCTGAGGTGTCTTCTCGGTTGGCAGAGAAACGCTCTTCTGCTTTAACTTATGCTGATAAGATGGATTACGAGGATCTTGCCAAGTGTAGGGAAAGAAGGGCCAGGAAAAATCTCCAGTCAAATACAAGCTTCAGCCTCCAGAGGAGAACAAAAAGGTGTCCGTGTAAACGCTTCAGGATCGTAATAGCAAAGTAGCACAGTCCTGAGAAACACAGCGGGTTTCTCTAATGTTGTACATCAATCGGCCATGTCTACAAAAAGGCCTAAAGACACAAGACATCGCCGAGCTGTTTAGCCTCTTTGTGCTGAGTCGGCACGTTGCGCGTGAGCGCGGACGTCCTGCTAATGTCATGAGCTGGTCATAAGACTGTGAGACAGTCTGGAGTATGTTTTTCAGCTCTGATTAAAATACAGCTGAAGCTGCTTCATCGCTTCTCTAATTCACTGTGCTGTGCTGCGAGCGAACGTCCTAGTTATCCGTTATCTGCTGTCTCAGAGATTCATAAGAAGGAGCAGCTCACTTCTCCGGCTATGTGTTAGGTAGGCAGCGAGGAGCAGAATGAACACTGTGTACTTGATTAAATGGAGGCTCACAAGCCGGGGGGACTTACTGTAATATGCTTTCATTCCCACCAAAAACAATCTCCAACCTAAAGCACACATGACAAGAGCGCATGCACTGATCGCCAGGCCCTGCTGAAAATTCATCAATAAGTTAATCAAATCAGCGAGGCACAGACCAAAGCAGCCACGCTGACAGCTTCAAAGGCATACAGCTGTCATTCATCCGTGCAGGATACATTGTGTTTGCTTTGATGGCGATGACAGGACGATCATGGACGATGATGAAAAAACACATCAGCCGGAGCAGAACTGCAGCATCAGACCTTTAAAGGGGGATGTGGTGTCAGACATACATTCATGTTGTCAACAAATCCCATGAAAAAGACTGAAATCAACTGTGTGTGTCCCTTAACCCTGGATGGAGGGAAAGTCTGCAGAAATGGACTTGTTATTGACACAGTCCTTTTTTTTATTGGATTTATTATGGCAGCATTGTTCTTTTTTCCAGTAAGCTGTTACACAGGATCCACAGCAGAGTTTCAAACAATATGTGTGTCTTCATATTCAAAACACTTGTCTGTGAATGTCCTTATATTCACTGGAAATTTTTTAAGTTATTTAAGGGGAAATGGAGAACATGTGGAGCTATTTTGTTTGGTTTTGAGGGAAGGAATTGGATTTTTTTTAACATAAATCTCAGCACCACATAATGGAGTCGACGTAATTTTAAACATTTTTCGTTTTCTTTTATCGTTTTTTTTTTTTTCAACCTAGAATTCCTCAGACTTTTTTTTTTGTTTTTTTTTTTTTTCAACCTAGAATTCCTCAGACTTTCATTAACTCAGACTCCATTTCTCAGCAACACTAGTGGGGCAATCTGCCGTGGATTTATATTACCTGCCAGAGCTGTTTGGTTGCTCTTCTGCTGTATTTCTGAAAAAGCATCAGAGC